AGCAATAGTTAAAAAAAGACAGATGGAACTATTGTATTTTCTGGGCTATTAGGCGCTCTGGATTATAAGACGCACTGTCATTAAATGGTCTAGTTTTCGAACTTTTTTCACAAATAAACCGCACTGGACTTTAAACGAAACACAACAGTTGGATGGGTCAGTGGGACTTTGTTTGGTGCGTTCACGGTGACTCTGGGCTTTGTTCAGTTGTGGCGTGTAGGGAGGGTGCTGTCTGGGACCACTGGATTGTCGGCGTGTTCGCAGTGACTCAGTTGTTCAGTTGTGTCTAGAAGTGACACATTGCGCTCACTTTTTCGGTTCGCTCCTTCGTTCCGTTCCTCGTCGGCGTGGAGTGATGAGTGGGAGTCTGTGGGTGTTTCTCGCTGTGCGGTCGTTGTCTGCTCCGTGTGTGTTTGTGTGCTCTGCAGGTGGTGCGGCTTTGTAGTTTATTGAAGTCGTGCTGGGACACCCAAGTGGATTCGTGTATAGGGCGCTCTGGATTGTGGTGTGTAGTCATCTTTTGATGGGGTTGGAGGCTTAAGAGCAGACTTAAATAGACTTTAAAGCAGCTCTGCTTGTGTACAAGTGTCTCCATGGGCGAGCACCAAAGTTCATCTGTGACATGTTAGTGTCATATGAACCATCTCGCACTCTGAGGACCTCAGGGACCGGCCTCCTGCTGGTGCCCAGAGTCAGGACTAAACAAGGGGAGTCAGCGTTTCAGGTTCATGCAGCTAAAACCTGGAACAGTCTTACTGAACATGTGAGACAGACTCTTCTGTGACGCTGTTTAAATCCAGGCTCAAAACATTTCTGTTTAACTGTGCATATAACTGAAAGGTTTTCATTCCACACTCTTCTTTCCAATTTATGTCTCTCTTTTTAATTTTAATCTTTATGATTATTTATGTTTTGATTAGATTTTATTATGAATTTAATGTATTTCTTATTCTGTAAAGCACTTTGAATTACTTTGTGTACGAATTGTGCTATACAAATAAACTTGCCTTGCCTTAAGAGCACGTCTAATAGCCCGGAAAATACGATACATAGACTATGATCCTTTGCTCCATTTCAGTGGCAACTACATGAAGAAATAACAGTTCTAATTACTTTTAAGTTTTAGCTCTTTGGATTGAGTCGTGTAACATATTAGCCTCCACAAAATATCGCAATAAATATCGTACCGTGAGGTTCATACCATGACCATATCGTATCGTGAGACTTGGATATCGTTACACCCTTACTAAATATGATGAAAAAATGGTTTATGGTTCATGAATTTACATTTTACTTTCTGTCTAATCGGGATGTGCTGTCGTCTTCTTGTAATGTTAGTTTACCCAATGCCTGACACTGTATATTTGAATGCTGCTTTACTGGGATTATTCTGCTTTATGGTTTTTGTGTCAGAGATATGAAGTAGTTTAAAAGTAGTTTTTATCACAATATTTCTCTGTAGTGACATACAGTGCTTCAAAATTTGTTATTGTGACAGGTCTACAGTATCTCTTTCCATACAAACTTATACAACGCGTGTGTATAATTATGTGTATGCCAGTTAACTCTAAACAATAAGCTGCTGTACAGTCAGTTATAATTAGTCCTAGTAACAATAGATCGTTTATTGAAGCAGGTATTGTGTAACTGATCAAATTCTAAAACTAAGAACTTGGCCAACGTTATGTTCCTCTAAATTTAAATGGTTCCTCATCGCGCAATCGAGGTTTTCACAACTTTACAATTCCAACGATATTTTGTTTGGAAATTGTCGATTGTTTTGGCAACAGCTTTAATTTTTCACAATTTTGCTTGAAACTCATGGACAGGCCTATAAAAATTCATATAATACTCCCTACAACTGTACAACGACTCTCCTTTATGTCACATATAATACTCCCTACAACTGTACAAGAACTCACCCTTATGTAACAGATAATACTCCCTACAACTGTACAACAACTCACCTTTATGTAACAGATAATACTCCCTACAACTGTAAAACAACTCACCCTTTATGTAACAGATAATACTCCCTACAACTGTACAAACAACTCACCTTTATGTAACAGATAATACTCCCTACAACTGTACAACAACTCACCTTTATGTAACAGATAATACTCCCTACAACTGTACAACAACTCACCTTTATGTAACAGATAATACTCCCTACAACTGTATAAATTACCTTTATGTAACAGATAATACTCCCTACAACTGTACAACAACTCACCTTTATGTAACAGATAATACTCCCTACAACTGTACAACAACTCACCTTTATGTAACAGATAATACTCCCTACAACTGTATAACAACTCACCTTTATGTAACAGATAATACTCCCTACAACTGTACAACAACTCACCTTATGTAACAGATAATACTCCCTACAACTGTACAACAACTCACCTTTATGTAACAGATAATACTCCCTACAACTGTACAACAACTCACCTTTATGTAACAGATAATACTCCCTACAACTGTACAACAACTCACCCTTATGTAACAGATAATACTCCCTACAACTGTACAACAACTCACCCTTGTGTAACAGATAATACTCCCTACAAGTGTACAAAAACTTATCCTTATGTAACAGATAATACTCCCTACAACTCACCTTTATGTAACAGATAACCCTATGTCCTGTCAATCATCATATCATATCATCATAAACTTAATAGTTCTCCAAATTACAGAAAGCCTCTGTCTCTTATCACTTTTAAGTTGTAGAATTTTGAAATGAAGGCGTCAAAATCGAACGTTTCTGGAAAAAACCTCTGGCGCCTGGAGGGTTAAACTGAGACAGATAATTATACATACGAGGAAATCCATCCAAGAGTCTGAGGAAGTTTTAAAAATAAAATCCTATTTCTTCTGTAATACTGAGTGTTTTGACAGATTTGTTTTTTGAAATACTGTTTAGTCTTTGAAGATAGTTCTTAATGTCTAGAATATTGATTTTAAATAGGGGTCTGGAATTGGAGAATTTGGATTTATGGATATGAAATTTTCCCAACAGAATACACAGGTTTACTAAATATTACAAATTATGTTGTTCATGATGGAAGTGCACTGGTTTTGTAATAAATAAGGAATATAAATGTACATGTAAGAATAAAAAAATTAAATAAAATACAGAAATATAGCAATTCAAGTATATCAGCCTTGAATGTTGAATGTAAACAGTAACATGAACTGAATCTCACACAGTCACATCACGTGACCACTCTGAGGAAGAGCGCTAGTAAGCAGTCGAAACTGTCAGATATGAAACAAAACTCTAGGTCTGAAAAAAGAAACTAATAACATGTACTGAATCTGGTAATTCCCATTTGAAAAAACACTGTGTCATTACTTCTTCAGTGTGTTTTTTCACCTGTTGAATTTAAATCGTAGCTTTTCAGATGGTAAAACTTTACAGAAACTTTAAGATAAGTTTATAGTGAATTTCTAAACCCTATACATTCACTCCATTCTGTCTGTTGTCATGGTCATAAATGGCTACTGACAGCTTGATGGACTTTGCAGTTTAGTGTTTGAAGATACTTCTTAATGTCCAGGATATTGATTTTAAATAATGATCTGGAATTGGAGAATTTGAATTTATGGATATGAAATTATCCCAACACAATGTGCAGGCTTACTAAATATTCAAATTTATATTGTTAAAAATGGAAGTGAACTGGTTTTGTAACAAGTGTGTCTGAAAAATCCAATACATCTCATATATTTGGGGATGAATCACAGAGCAGATCCAGGCAGGGGCAGAGCTAACTGACACTCACTTCAGCCAATACTTCTTTTTGTATTTTTATTATTGTGAATGATTAACACTAGGGGTGTGCAAAAATATCAAAATATTGATATATCGTATCGTTTATTGTGATCATACAGTATCGATATAGTGGGTTTTTGTATCAATATATGGCTATATATGAGTATTTTTTTTGTGTATTTTACAAAATTATTTTGTTACAGTGCTACAGTTTTGATGTTTGTTTAGTGGAAGGAAACTCATTTATGCGACATATTCGACATTTTCACGGTTTTGATGATATTTTATTACTTATTTTTCCATTTTATTTCGACTTGTACATATACATTTAAATAATTAAGCCTTATTTGATAACTATCTTTCTTGCTTCTTATTTAAAATTTATTCTGGCCATTTATGTATTTTTAAACTTTTTGTTATTGTATTATACTGTGATGTGTGTGCTATTGTGTCCAAATAATTTCCCTTGTGGATCAATAAAGTTTGTCAAAGTCTAACTACTCTAAAGCAGTGTACAAGAAAACAGTGCAAAAATGATATTGTGATAAATAATGACTGACGTGGTAAAAGATGTTGATTTTAAAGATGACTCCTTCCTGCGCTGGTGTGCACTGGTATTGTTTTTTGTTAATTAATTTAATTAATTTATATAGTTAGTTCGTGCATTGATTTTGTTTTTTGTTTTATTTATTTATTCATTTAGTTAGTTGATTAGTTAGTTAGTTAGTGCACTGGTTTTCTGTTTTGTTTTATTTATTTATTTATTTATTTAGTTAGTTAGTTAGTTAGTTAGTTAGAGCACTGTTTTTGCTTTTTGTTTTATTTTATTTATTTAATTAGTTTGTTAGTTAGTTATTTAATTAGTGCAGTGGTTTGGATTTCTGTTTTATTTTATTTATTTAGTTAGTTAGTTAGTTTGTTAGTTATTTAGTTAGTTAAATAGTTAGTGCAGTGGTTTTGTTTTTTATTTTATTTTATTTATTTAGTTTAGTTTGTTAGTTAGTTATTTAGTTAGTTAATTAGTTAGTGCAGTGGTTTTGTAACGAGTGCGTCCGAAAGATCCAATACATCACATATATTTGGGGATGGACCAATCACAGAGCAGATCCGGGCAGGGGCAGAGCTAATTGACACCCGCTTCGACCAATTAGGTGCCGCTTTGACTCCGCGCGCCGACCAATCGGAGCGCTTATGCCAAAAATAGCACCTCCTCTTGTTCAGCACCCAAAGTCGAAGGAAAGCTCTGGCCTTTCAATGGACGAAAGTGCTAGATTTGTCAGTGTTTTATAACAGATTTGTCAGTGTTTTTTTTGTTTCGGAGCGATCGGAATTGCCTGCGTTTAATGCGAGGGACAGAACTGGCGTCAACCATGCGTAAAAATCAACGCTATCCAAGCAGGGGACCACCGAGAAAGGAATTATCGCCGCTCATCTGAGGCCAATCGCGATTATTTTTGTCAAATAAGGAAACATATCATAGTTAGCTGGCTGGCGTTAATTTCGCAGACGGGCAGGATAACGCCTCTTCTTCAGTATCGAGCAAAACTCAGGACGAAATCAGGATTGGATTCGCGTATCGACAGGAAAACGTAAGTAGCATGCTAAGCTAACGGGTATGCGTGCTAGTCTAACGTCATGAGCTAGCCGTGAAGTTAGCTCGGTTCACACACTTAGCACATATCCACACACACACACACACACACACACACACATATATATATCCCCTACACACAACGCTCGCACGAAGGCCTCGGCGCGGGGAGCAGTGGAAGTGGCATGCAAGTTGGACATGTGGTCACTACATAGGTATTTAACACACAAACGCGTGTCCAAAAGCAGACACTGACAGCGGGTCCGATACGTGACGTGTGTTGTGCAAGAACGTAGCCTGGCTCGACAAACGGAGCGTACTCTTGTTTAGGAAAAATAAATGTGTGCCGCACGTATTTCTAATCACGCTATTCGTCGTCAGAAGCAATTTTGTGAACCGTATTTTAACGTGCTTTTTGTGGTTTTGTTATTGCGAATGGTTAACACTTAGGGGGAGTGCAAAAATATCAAATTATCCATATATCGTGCGGTTTAATGTCATGATACAGTTTCGATATCGTGTGCTGCTGTATCGATATATCGCTGAGAGTGTTTTTTGGTATATTTTACTAAATTATTTTGTTACAGCACTACAGTTTTGTTGTTTGTTTAGTGCAGGGGTGTCAAACTCAAATTCACAGAGGCCAAAATTAAAAACTGGGACTAAGTCTTGAGCCAAATAAAAAATTTATTGGGAAATTTCAACGACATCTGCATGTTTTCTCTTCTTTCGAGATATGTAATGTTAAATATTTTCTTATTAAAATAAATGGTTAATAATAATTTTGCTTAAACATTGAATCCAGAACAAGCATAGTATAAAATAATAACAAAATTTAAAATAATGACTCTATAGCCGATCTGTAGCCGGCGGGACAGCTCTAATACATATTTGATTTGATCTCGTGGGCCAAATATAATTGTATCGCGGGCCAAATTTGGCCCCCGGGCCTGAGTTTGACATGTCCGTTTTAGTGGAAGGAAACTCGTTTATGCGACACATTTAACATTTTCACAGTTTTGATGATTAAAATGGGCGTGTTTCATATTAACTTAAAGACTTTTAGTATCACAGCCATGATTTGACCATTATTTTTTTTACTGAACCGTATCAAATCGATTTGAAATGTATTACATCAAATCAAGAGCTCACTGTTTTGAGGTATGTATCATATCATGGCCTATGTATCGAGGTATGTATCGCATCGGCAACTTCTTAATAATAACTAGCCCTAATTAACACCGGTATAGCTAGCTACACAACTTGGACTGGGTTGGGTTCACTACGAGAAATTGATTTAGAAATGTCAGATGGAGGGCATGGGAACTATTTCTGAAAGAATTTTAACCAGACAAAATCCACAATTGAAATATTTTTAGTTGCTGATGATAGATAAGCTTATAAATCTTACTTAAAAATGTGCAAAATAACAACTGTGTGATAAACTGCTATATTTTTGACACAATTGCCCAGAGTGTATACATATTTTTATTGATCAAAAGACAGTTTTCACATGCGTAGACCCAGTAAGTGCCTATTTCTGTACATTTTTAGCCATAAACCTAATCAAAACATCTACATTTTGTAATTTTAACAGCAAATTCTATCATAATTTCTTAAAAAATAGTCCTATAGATATTATTTGGCATCACTTATTGCAGTCTTATATTAAACAACAGCTTTAGAACCATAAATACAATGCTTACAGCCACAGTATCTGCTATACGTGAAATTGTCTCTTCGGTTAAGTTAATGGTTGAATGATGACACACTTGTCCATTGTCCAAAGTCATTGCCAGCTCATTTATTGTCTGTGTTCAGGTTCTACCAATAGACGTCAATTATTTGCTGAATATATCCAACAGAATATAGGCCATCGTATTTTAAAGCTACAGAGCACTCATTTGTAGTTTTTGTGAATGAAAGTAATCGTTATTGGTCAACATTTGCTCAGCTGCAGAAGAGTTTTTGCACTTTTAGACTTTTAGACAAACTTTATTGATCCACAAGGGAAATTATTTGGACACAGTAGCTCACATGTCGCAATAAAATATACAATAACAAAGAAATGGACATAATAAATTCAAAATAAGTAGCAAAAATAACGGGAGAGTAGTGTCATATAAGGCATAACTATATGTTAAGTAAAAATAAAAAATACAGTTATGTTTCATATGTATCAAACAGTAACATCTATTTAATTTGGTTCCACCTATTTGAACAAAACGCTGTCATTTTTGCACATTACCAGTAGGAGTGTGCAAAAATATTGAAATATCGATATACTGTATTGTTTAATTTGATGGTACAGTATCGATATTGTGAGCAGCTGTGTCAATTTATCGCCAAGAGTATTTTTTAGGTGTATTTTACAAAATAATTTTGTGTAAGAGCTAGAATTGTGTTGACATTTTCATTGTTTTGATGAGTAAAATTGGTGTTTTTCATATTAACTTAGTGAATTTAGTGGACTTTTAGTATCACAGCCATGATTTAGCCTTTGTTTTCCACACAACCGTATTAAATTATACTGAATCGAAAGCGCGCTGTATCACAAAATGCATCGTATCGTATCGGCAAGTTCTTAATGACACCAGCCCTGTTCTCCAGTGTGTTTTTCACCTGTTGAATTTAAATCGTAGCTTTCCAGATGCCAAAACTTTACAGAAACTTTACGATAAGTTCATGGCCAGTTTCTAAACCCTATACATTCACTCCATTCTGATGTATAGGTGCCTAATCTGTTGTCATGGCCATAAACGGCTACTGACAGCTTCGTGGACTTTGCCGTTCAGGTGTCAATGTTTAGCTATTCAGCGTTAGTTTGTGAGCCTAATGGCATTTCTAGCATTACCATATTACATTTGTATACAGTCAAATTCGTTTTCCAGTGTTAAGATATTCTGTAAATGTACATTAACGTTGGTAGATATACTGTGAGGCAATGCGTATCTTAAGTATTTGAGTTTGTGCTTTATATTAGTCTAGAGTTTTTAATTAGGTTAGTAGGTGAACGTGTTTTGGCCCAATTATCTCTATGGAAAATCTTTTGCGAAGTCTGTTTATAGTAAATTGCATTGGGGCGGCATTCTTGGACAAATTTTAAAGAGCCCGTGTTATGTTTTTTCTGCTCTGCTGTAAGGTCATTTCCTCGTCAAAAACATACCTGCAGGTTGCGTTTTGTTTTGTTTCATTCGCTCATGTTTAACGCACGAATCCTGCATATTTAGGTTCTTCTCTCAAGCAGAAAACACTCTGTTCCATGTTGTGAGGTCATGTGGTGATACAGGAAGTGCTCCGCTATGTTTTTAAACTCCACACACTTTCGCTGGATTAATTTGGATGATTTCAGGCCTGGAGTTGCCGTCTTCTACTGAACAAAATGTAAAAGGAGCTGTTAACTTGAAAAAAATACCACTACATGAGATCACAAGTTGGAACAGAGCATTTTGAGCCTTGGAGATGTAGATAAACTCAGGCTACATTTATGTGATGACGGTCTGAACAGAAGATGCAAAAATTGGCGTCGCGTCTTCACTTTTTATTCCGTGTTTAGACGAGCGTTTGCGGGAAGAAATCTGCGTGCATACTTTGACGCAGAAGTGTGTGGAATCCGATTGGGTATGTATGAAATCCGACATGTTTGTTTCTGTGTACTGGGGGTGTGCATTGCCTTGAGTCTGACAATACGATACATATCACGATTCACATGTCACGATTCAATATATCACGATATATCCCGATACTAAAACAATGGATGATATATACTGCAATTTATCAGTAATTACCTCTAATAAAACGGTCAACTACACCTTCAAGAGAAGACAATTATATGAAATATAATTCATAAACTTTTTAAAATCATGAGAACTGTGAATGTAACTCATGAATTTTTGTGAAAAATATTATTTAAAAACTCAATTCAGATCCATTTTGAATCGATTTGAGAATTATGCAATGAAATATCACGATATATCACTGAATCGATTATTTTTTTTTTTTCTTACACCCCTACTATGTACTGTATGTATGTGATGTAAACGTGTACGCGACATGAGCAGATCTGACCAGAGTTTTGCGTCTTGGGCAATGAAAACGGAAACGCTACGGCGGAACGTATTCAACTTTTCCACTCTGGAGGGAGGTTTCAGATTTTTGCATTTTTAAGCCCCAAAAAATCCCGTCACCGTCTAAACGAAAGTCACTTCCGATAAAATATTTTGTCGTTTTTACCCGCAAGCGTTCTCATGTAAACAGGTCCTCAGTGTGCTTTATCTCTATTGTTGTTTCTCTATTACTTAGTGAACCTAAATAAAGTCAGAAAGTTGAGAGTACATTTGTTCTTTTATCATCAAATTGTATTCAAATTAAATTGTCAGCATCAGCTTGGACTATTGATTCTGTCTTTAAAATGGTGCACTTTTATCCGAGGACGTGAGCCGGACAAATTTGTACCTGAAATTGATAAGAAATTATCTGTCTGCGTTGGGCGTTTGTGTACGGGGTTCTCGTTTATTATAGCTCAGATAAAAGCGTAATATAGGACCTTTAACGATTTCTCAGTGTGCTTTATCTCGCTTGTTGTTCATCTGTTTGAGTCTTACTTACAAAACCATGGCTACTAACGCTGCTTTGCATATGTGGGAACAAAATATTCAGTATCATATTGCAATCTACTCCTCTAGCAAGAAATATGGCGCCGTTTGTCCCAACATATCAGAGTGGATGTATTCAGTATATGGTAAATCAATACACGTAATGCTTCCACATCGTAGTACAGTTGAACTTGATGCTGCTTTCTAATGAACACCACTAATGTTTGAAATCATGCACTGTCATTCTTACAGCCATCTTAACATGCAGAAAACAGATCTCGCATATTAACAATAGTATAGGTATGTATCTTAAAGGTTTAAAGGCTGATATTTTACTATTTTTGATCTATGTTGTAGTTGTTTCCTCATCAAAAACTAACCAGGAGTTGTGTTTTGTTTCATT